TCATAGTGACCTTATGTACAGCAGCTCTAAACCCTGCTCTATTCTGTGTCAATCTTATTGTCTCTGACAAACCTATCCCCATTACCCCAGTCACTTAATCAATCCATCTCTTCGAGGTCTTCCACTCTTGCTCTGTTCCTCCACTCTCCTAAGCATGACGTCCCTCTCCCAGGACTGGTCCCACCTTGCAACATGTCCAAAGTATGTCAGATGAAGCTTCAGAATCCTTGCCTCCATGGAACAGCCTGGTCTACTAACAGTCCACGGTATAGTCAATACTCTGCTCCAGCACCAAAGCTCAAAGGCATCAATTCTCCTTCTATCATCTCTAGTCATTGTCCAGCTTTCCGATGCACAGCAAGTAATTGTAAAGACCATGGCCTGGATCAGATCACCTTTGTCTCCAAACTGACATCGTTGCTCTTCAGTACTTTGGAGCGGTCTCTGACAGAAGACTTTCCCAATACAATATGTCTTTTTATTTCTTGGCTGCTAGTACCAAGAGTGTTGATTGTAGAACCAAGTAAACTAAAGCTGTTAACAATCTCAATCTCTTCACCATCCTTCATGAAACTGCTAACTGGCCCAGTGGTGAGAATCTTTGTCTCCTTGATGTTGAGCTTCAATCCATATTGAAAACTACAATCCTTGACCTTCTTCAGCAAGTGCTTCAGGTCCTCCTCAGTTTCAGCAAGCAGGTTTGTGTCATCTGCATAATACAGGTTGTTGATGAGTCTACTTCCAATCCTGATGCCACATTTCTCCACAGCCTCCCGGATGATCTGTTCTACATATAGGTTGAAAAAGTATGGTGATAAGACACATCCCTAGCATTCACCCTTCCCAATTTTGAGCCATGCAGTGCTTCCTTGCTCTGTTCTGACAATTGCCTTCTGGCTCACTTCGACAGCACATGTACCAGAAAAGGGAAGAAAAAAAAAAAAAAAGAATGATAGAGAAAATTAGCATGGCCCCTGAGCAAGGATGGCATGCAAATTTGTGACGCATTCTAGGCCCTCTAGAGCTCCTTAACATACATTCCTATAGTACTGCTTCCTTAAGATTCTAAGGACTAGAAATAAAAAGCAGTATTAACTCAGTATTTATGATCAATGAAGCACAGAGATCTGCTTTTATTCTAAATCTTACAAGTTTATTCTTTTCTCCTCTAAGCCTCTGGGCAAGTATATATAGTTCATGCTTCTAGATGGTATTTCCTTCTTGAAATGTACTTTTATTTCTCACTGTTTTCCCTTTATTGCTATTCTTTCAGCCTTGGTAATTAATACAAAGAACATAACACTAGTTCATAGTCCAAAAGCATGACATAGGATTAACAGGAAAATAATTAGGGGTTAGTTGTGGGGTTTTTCTTACCCCTTCCTTAAAAAAAAAAAAAAAAAAAAAAACAACACCCCACCTAATTAGCTTTTCAATCTCTATGGCAACCCAGCCATAGCCACTCTTACTAGAAAGCAGGCTTTATGACCTTAAGACCAAGTTCAAGTTCTACTGAATGTTTAGGCAACTGTCCCTTATCTCTGTGACTACAGGCATGAAGGAAGAAGTGGAGAAAGGTTAAATCGCTGAAAATTTTAAAGGCTGAAATAAAACTAAATCAAGTACATACATAAAAATGTACAAATTCAAGAGAGATCACACAAACAAAAACTAGAAGTTATTTAAAAGTGATAGAAGATGCAACTCTGCTCATAAAAATCCTACGCTGCCGCAATCTGTTAAAAAAAAAAAAAAATCTCCCCTACACACTTCCCATGTGGCTTCAACAAATTACCAAAAATCCTAAAATGTTTAAGTATATTATGTAGTCTCCTTTCCTTTCTACATCCACCTAGAAGTGACTCGCTGTGATTTTAGTAAAAATAGGAGGTTCTAGGGAATAACTTCTTTGTATCTTAGAATTAGTGTATTAGCTTTAAAGACTATTAGTTTCGAGCTACAAGTTTGTCTTCTTAGAAAAATAGTAAAAAAACTAATAACCTTTAGAAAGAGAACCCGCTAGGCATTCCCGTTAACAGAAAGCAAAGATTCTCTCCTATTTTCCTTTTATTCAATCATTCACTACAGCTATCCTTTTACAGAGAGAAAATTTAAATTCCCCAGAGCCAGAGTAAAGAGGGCGAGGAGCCCGTGTCTTTACTAGAAAGCCAGCTAAAGCGGCTTTTAAACGGTCTCCGAGTGGCGACGCATTCCTAACGGGTTTCGAAGACACGTTTAAATCGCCCGCTTTTTTGTTTGCTTGCTACATTCACGGGACGCCGGGACTGCGGCCGCCCCCGCGCGCCCAGGAGAGGGAGCACCGGGTCGCCGGAGCTCGGGGTGGGGAGTCCGAGACCAAGGACGCTGGGACCTGGAGTCCAGGTGGACAGTGAGGAAGCGGGAAGGGGGAGAAGCCTGAGGTGGGGAGCGCGACCGCCGCCTCGCACCGGGGAACGCACTATTCGGCTCCCGCCACCGCCGCCACCACCGGGGTGTGCGCTGGGCTGCGGCTCCGCGCGGCACCGCCCCCTCCCTCCTTCTCCTCCTCCCGAGGCGACAGAAACAACAGCGCGGGAGGAGGGGAAAGTAACTCCCGGCACCTCCGCCGGAATTAGCCCCGATGCAGTGATGACACCTTCTCATGGCGCAATCAAGCCCCGCTCCCTCCGCAGCGGCGTCCCCGCCGCCGCCCTCTCCATTTGAAAGTGGCCATCCCCCGCCGCCGTCGCCGCCGCTCCTCCCGCCCCGCCGCCGCCAGCTGCACCAATCCGCTCGGCCCCAGTTGCAAATCAAACGCTCCCTCGCGTCCAGAAGCCACTTGCGTCGCTGGAAACGGCCGCGCCGTCCCCCTCCCCGAGTCCCTCCGGGGCGGCACCTTCAGGCTGGGGCGGGCACGCCGGCGAGAAACGGTTGAGAGATAAGAGCGACGGCGGCGAGCAGCCCTGAGTGGGCTCGGTTCCGGCTCCCGCTCCCGCCCCTAGACAGTTCTGGAAACTGTATCACCTCTGTCACAGGAAGCCATCCGGCGAGGAAGGCGGCGCGGAACCAACAAACAAACGCCTGCGGCCGCCCGCCGGAACCAACACGGGGACGGCGATGGGCTGCGGGCCGTTCTGGGGGCGGGGGCGCGACGGCCGCCCCCGCGCCGAGGGCTTTGTGCGGAGCTCCCGCGGCGCGGGCGCGGCGGGCCGGGCGTCCCCGCCCCCGCAGCCCCCCACCCTGGCCCCTGGTGGCGATGCTGGGACCGTTAGGTGACGCTCCTGTGGCGACCAAGAAACAGCCACCGCCCGCCCCCATTTCCACACGGAGCCGCCTCTCCTTCAACGCCAGAGGCGGGCTACAAAAGTTGGCCCCGGGGCCACCCAGCACCTGCCCACGTGCCGCGAAAGCTCGCACCCTGGTCTCCCCCGGCCCCTTCCTCCCGCCGCCCTCGGCCGCCAGGTCACCTATTACCGGTGGGAGGGGAGGAGGCTGCTATTTAAACGCCCACGGAAGTTGAGGCACCCCCACAGGCGGGTGCCGTGCACCTGCCTCCCGCCGCCGCGATCCGCCACTTTGAGCAGCAGCCGTGTCCTCGGCCCCGCCTCCTGCCCGAAGGCGGGCGGG